TATCTGGCACATTTACTGCTGGGCATCCAGGGCAGAGTTACCTTGATAAGACTGCCCTGTTGTGTTGCTGTTTTCTAAACGTGCAGAAAGTTCACTCTGTTCACCTTTATGTCCCATTCATAAGGGAGCTGCTTAAACAACTCTCCATTCCAAGCTGTCTCCCTGCCTAATAAGTTATTTTATTGACAGCTTGCCAGCAACAGCCCTAAAGTCAGCCTGAGAACATAAATACAGCCTCTTGAGCTTGCTTCAGTGTGTTAGAGGACGCTTTCAGTACTGTCGACAAAGCTTTAATGGTGTGAACTCAGAGCTTGAGTACTACTGAGCACTCCAGCGATCAACACCCACAGAACATTCAGAGTTTCATTCCAAAAGTATTTTAGGAACCCTTGAAATCAGAGGCTTTCTCTCTCCTCTGCAAAAGCTCATTTTAGAAAACAATTTAGGCCATTTTTAGTTGCAGAAATGTTGCGATAACCCTGCCCGTGGTGCCACTCTCCTGTTGCCTGTGTTTCCACAATGTCATGCTTTCAAGCTGCCTGCCTTTGCTGTCCAGAGGGTCTTGTCTTTCCAAAACACATCTGAACTGCCATTAACATATAGTAAAAGCAACATTTCCTGTTCCAGCTCCATCCTAAGCAGCTCAGGAGATGGAACATGTCTCACTGGCCTCGCTGCCTGCTGGGTGTTGTTATCCTTTGACTAAACCTAGAGAAGGCTCAAGGCTGCTCCAGCTCACAGGATGAAACGTGAGCCACGCAGCTCAGGGATCCCTCAGACAGTTTCCCTTTGACCTCCCCATGCTTGTGAACACAGCTCATAAAAACCCCTGGGTCACACCAAGGAGTTCTGAACTTCTTTACCTCATACTTTTCCGTCATAAACTGTTTTGGAAAATTAGTGTCTTGTGTCCCATTCTTGCTCTAAAGCGTCTGTCATCTCCTTTTCCGTGAGTTCGAGCGCATGTGCTGCAGCACACGGCCAGCACAGAGCCCCACACACTCCCAGTCCCAGCTCACACAAACTTGGAGCTCTAGGGCTTGCCTACAAACAAAAGTTTTGCTGGTTTAACAGTTTTTTTAAATATCTAAAGCAGTGCAAAAGCCTGCGTAGAGGAAAGGCTACTGGTTTGCGACCATCTTACACAAAAATCAGACAATTACGGGTTGATGCAGCTATTATGGCAACCTCCTGATTTAAACTAATTTGATGTAAGCTGGTTATAAACCAATTTAAGTGTGTCCAATCAGAGGCATACACTGGTTCAGCTAAATGGATTTTGCAGCTGAACTGATGCTACCATTGTGCACGGACAAGCCCCCAGGCTCGCACAGCCCGTTTCTCCATTGCTTCTGTCTGCTTTCATTTGCACCAGGACGGTAAATGCTCCCAGTTCCTGGCAGTACAGCTGAATGCCCACGCAGAACAAGTGGAATGTTAGCACAAACCCAGAGTTTTTTTCACTTCTCCGTTCCCAAAAGAAGAAAAACATTAGTATTTTATCACGCAGCATATAACTCTTACTGACGAGCCTCCCACAGAGAGAAGTCAGGCGTAAGGACCAGGATAGGAACGAAAACACACAGCCTCGTGTTTCAGAGGCAAACGATCGTCATCTGCAACCACAAAGCCCAGCTTACATCTGGACTAATTCTAAGGAAATGGAGGTGTTACCCTCAGGCAAAGCCAGGGAAAATGAGCAGAATTAGGTGCAGTATCTGCAAGTGCTCCTGGAGAGCAGCAGAGCGATTCCCTGGCCCCATGGCAGCACACAGGCACTGTAAGAAAAGGCAGAGCAGGAAGGCTGGTGCACAAAGGGACCTTGCCATGATTTTCATTTGCTCTCCATCTCACACTGAAAGTCTTGGCTTCATGCAATGAACACAGGGTGTCCCTGTGTGGTGCTGCTCTGGTCTCAGCTCTTCACTCAAGTTTCAGTAGCACTGCCCAGGAGTCCCCCAGGAGCGTGATGCTCCTCCCGGCTCGTCAGTCTTCTTTGTGAGCTTATTTTTCATGGCTGTGGCATCTCCCCAGGCCTCCTTTCCTTCTGACCCAAGCAACGTGGCTCATCATTAATCATCTCCCCCTCTAAAAACCTGTTTCTATTAATAAGAACGGATTTGTTCCGGGAGTAAAGACCCAGATGAGACCACCCTACCTTTCCTGTTTATTGAGTTCCCAGTGATTCAATCCAGTATATGAAATTCAGATAAGTTTAAAATGGCCACAAAAGCTTGCCCTTAAAAAATATTTTGCTTTCTGTAAAAATGTGGGGAAACTCCAATATTTTTATTGCAATTGAACAGTGCTCTGAATTATATTTTTAAAGTTTTTCCATAAAAAAACCCCAAAGCCATTTTAATCAGAACATTCTAAGAATTTCCTCGTCAAAGCTCTACAGGGTTGAAAAGGCATTTCTCATCCAAACCCAAACATTTTGCAAAAAATATTTCAACCAGCTTAAACAGTAATGCAATTTTAGAGTGCACAGATATAGGTCCAACATAATGATATATTAGAATGTTGAGCTATCACTGGTCTGTGATACTACAACCTCTTAAAAGCTTGTAGCATTTTAACAAGAAGTGAGACCCAATTCAAAGTAAAGAGAAAACCCTTAAGCTCAGAGTAGACATATATAAACTGACAAGCTGACTATATTATCTAAACTGCTGGTTTATAGCTGTATTATGCACTCAATCTAAAAAAAAAAAAAAAAAAAAAAGGAACATAAAAAAATGTATAAAGATAAGGCACTAGTGAGGGGTGGAGTTGTGTTTTTTTCATTAGATACATTCTTTGATTCCCCTGCCTAAAATGCTGCAGTCAGCAGTAGCTTAATTCTAAGTTATAATTAGGGTTATGCATTAAACCAGGACTCTTGAGCATGTCTAACCTAAAGAAGTTCAATGCATAAATGAAAAACAGACCTGTGGCTGGCTGACTTGGCATCAACTAGGATACCAATATATAGTAACAGAATAAATTTAAAATGAAAATTAAATGTGGTCATTACAGCTTAAATTGATGCTATATTTGCCAAGTGTTTATGAAAGGAAAAATTAAAGATAAGCATGATTTTGGAGGAGGCAGTGTGACCTGATACACAGCAGCTTACTGTGACTCAGGGTGCATTTTAAAATAATTTAACACCAATTTTTGAGTCTACAAAAATGAAGTAACCTTTTTTTTCTTTTTTTTTTTAAGATTAGTTTCCCCCAAACTGCACATGGCATTTAAATGCACAACTGCATGGTACATTTTAGCTAATGAAAGACTATTTTTAACTCTCAGAAATTTTGTTGCTTTACAGCACTGGGTTATTAACACCAGTAAGTCAGAGAGACAAGCAAAATTCAGATCTGCAGGAGACTTAAAAGCCTTAGAAAATTAGGTGAAGATGCCTTTTGATAGGATATTTCTATCCTTTCTATTTATTGCATTTTGCATTTCTGGCACAAAAGGTGGAAAGTATCTTTAAGGACAGTTTCCTTCAAAAACTGAGCAAGACAGTGAACTGTGCAGAGGAACTCTTCCAATTTTCTGCATTTCAGCAAATACTTCATTTGGTGTGAAATACTTTATTTTTGGATGCTCCTAAGCCCTTTTAAGGTATGATGTTGTTTAGCACCAGTATGCATTTCACAACTGTGCAGCCTAATCTCATGCAAATCAAGTATTAAAGTATGTAATTGCCATGCTAATAAAAACAGAATCACAGAAGGGCAAAACTGGATGTAAGCAGTGGCTGAGCATGACTTGCATGTGACTTACGACTTGGGGCTACACCTGTACTTACCAGCTGCTCTCTGGATATTGGGAAGAATGGCCACAGCCTCAATTTTTTCTGTTCCCAGCAAGGAACTGGTTGGAAGTGAAGCATTCCACAGGAGACTGCTGGTGTTGGAACAGCGATGAGCAGAGAGTCCCTCCACTGACCTCGATCCTACAGCTCCCATCACGGTGAGCACATTCCTCCATGTGTTTAAAGCTCTGCAAAGAAGTGTGAGCTTCTGTGTTTCTGTGCAAATTAGGGACAAACCAACAATGGAAGCACTATTTAGAAAAGGTGGAGTCTTCTGTTTTGTTTTTTCTTTTCTTTGTGATTATATTTACTCAGTAAAACAACAAGGTGCTGAGCTTTCCAGCAGTAGCTCAGCCATTTGTATATGGCTCATTCAAATATATAACCTACTGTTTAAGCATGTGCTTAATTCTAAGCAAAAGAAGTCCCTTTGAAGTCACACCATAACAAGACATGCACCTAATGTTAAAATATACATTTAAGTGCTTTACTGGACTGGGGCCAGAACACCTCGCTTGCAAGATCCAGCTTCCAACACGTAGGTTTAGATCTTAATTTACTAAGGCCTGATCTTAAGGAATATGATTGTGCAAAAGTGAAAAAACTTGCTTTGTTATCACATCCATTACCATTCTGAGTCCCTTGGGTCTCAGATAGGCCCTGTGGACATGCCTTTATACAGGGCTGCTGCAACCACACCGAAAAGTTGGCCAAACTTCAGAGAACAACAACTTGATTTTATGTGTGTGTGTATATAAATATATATGTGTACACACACGTGTGTGTGTGTGTACATATGCATGACATGCATGTGTGTGTGCATATGTATCAGCTTAAGAGGCAATGAATTAGAGTTAAACAATTGTTTTTGTAAGGCACATTGATTACATCAGTGATGTTTCCTAAATAATTAAAGGTTTGCTTTGATCTTTGATTGTAGGCTTGGCTTTATGACAGCTAATGTAAGTATCTTTAACTGATTCCATCCTACACTTACCTATTATACAGCCTCACACAGGGTCACTGCCGTTCATCTGACAAGAAAATGAGTGAATTCAGGAAGCAAATCCAGCAGGAAACTATTCCACCGAGGAGAGGGGCGGGATTCAGTTTCTTGCCAGTCTTAAATCTCTGAATTGAATCACTGTGAGGTCAAACCATCCTCAGTGCTGACGCCAGAGAAGCTACCTGAGCGGGCAGGTGGGGAGCAGGGACGGGTGCCAGACCTCCCGCAGTCCTCGCTGTGTCAAACTGCTCTGGGTCACCCCTCCGCAGCCAAAACTTCCTCTATCAAACAAATACTTAAGCTAAAGAATACAAAACATGATTCTTATGTAAAATAACTCCTTTCCTTAGCACGGTCTTTTTTTTTTTTTTCAGATACAATTGCTGGTTAAGGAGATAGAAGAGGTTAATCATCCACCCAACTGACTGCAAGCAGCCTAACAAATAAGCAGAGATCAGCCCAGAGGCCCTCGGCGCATGTAAATCAGCATCGTTTCATCAAGCTTGGAGCTTACACCATCATGCACTCACTCAGGATCTAAAACCCAAATCTGTAAATGAAAATGATGCTAATTACAGTTCACCACCGAGCAGCACTACCTTAATTTTAAGGAAATGAAGGAAACGGGCTTGCTCCGTGACAGTCGATATCATATTGCCATACAACTAACTTAAAGTTGTATAAGTTAGATTATAACTTTTGAAGAAGCAATTATGATTTTATTGCACCCACTCTGCTGATGATTAATGCAGAGAGCCTAGGGGAAAATGCATCCTATCATTTGCTAACATGCACTATAATTATGCATACCTCTCCAGGTACTGTAATTTAGGACTTAAAAAGCAACATTCTGAACGAGGACTGCTGCACTTGTAAAACATTACAGATGTGTTATCATATAAATGAGGTAGCTTTGACATGATAGTGTTCTAATAAATCCTCAGCTAAGATTTGGAGACAAGATATGTCAAAAGCAAAATCCAAACTGTCTCTTAATCTTCTACATAAACTGTTTATTTTTTCTGAGCCCTACAATAATACATGTGTCAAGAAGGCTTTGATGGTTTCTAGATTAAAGTACAGTTGGGATGGATTTTTTTTCCCCTTTACGGGTCATCTTGAGAATGCTCATTTTAGTTAAATTAACTCAGCTATTTGCAGGTTTCAAATGTGAAGCAAAAAAACCCCAGTTTTCCCTAAATTGGGAACTTGTGAGATGAACTTCATAAATAACAAACTTATTTCACTCCATTTCAGTGAAAGTTTTAAAACAGCTAATGCTGAATGATCTTCTGTCAGTCAAAGAGCTTCATTTCAAACCATTTGCAACAAATGCAGAGGAAGGAAAAAAAAAAAGGCAAAAAACACCCTACTTTGTATACAGTGAGACAAATTTATGATCCTCTCCGACTTAAATTCATTCTGTTTATTTTTTATTTATATTAAAATACTGACTTGATGTCTTAGCCAAGACTAGAACCCCATTCTGCTTTGCAAGATAGTGAAGAAGTTTTCCCCCCTTTCCCAGCTTATGTGCAGTCCAAAAAGATAAGTTTGGGATGGGGAATAGCAGAGAAGCAGCAATATGGCAGGCCCATTCACAGGTAAGAAGCTGGGAATAAAACCTGAATTTCTCAGTGCAATCTGAATTCAATCATGATGCCTGTAGGTGTTCCTGATGCTGCCCAGTTATATGTCCCTCATCACTACAAAAAATGTTGCTTTTCTTTTCAAAGTACACTGCACAGAGCAGATCTCACACACAGAACTGCTCTGGGCTGCTCCTGAAATAAAAGTGCAAGGTCCTTCCGGGCTTTTAGTGGGGCATTTATAAAAGCTGCCTTGGTAAGTGTTAGGGAAGGAAGGAAAAAAAAAAAAAACACCCACCCAAATAAACAGGAAAGGCAGGATTTAACATAATAAAGCGTGAACAGCAGTTGGATGTTATACCAGCATCTGCTCTAATTATGCTATGTGAGTGGTTCAACTGCATTTTGTGGTCGACTGTGCTGAAAGCCTCCCATAAGTTGAGCTGGTAGAATTCTAGATTTATTGCTATTCAAAATCAACGGCTAAAATCAACATATATGTGTAGTTATTCATTCCAACTTGCATTGTCAGCCACAATTTTCCATCAATTTCATATCGTTTTGCCAAAACAACAACATAAATTTAAAAGCTTTTTAACAATGTGACCACAGATAAAAAAAAGTAAAAATCCAAGAGGGTTATTCTATTTGATATACTACAAACATCCTAGTTCCCAAAAGTAGATTGTTTTCAGGTGTATTACCCCAGCTTCTTGTGTCCAGTTCAGATTTTTCAGCCAGCAAACAAAAAAATTCATTGCATTCTTCTACTTGACTGAAAAAACAACCTCAAGGGGGGAAGTTTTATTACTTTTATTTCAGTTTTCTGAAAACATTTTGTTAATTGTTTGTTATTTGCCTAATTTTGCCTGATGTGAAAAAAATCAGATCAAGACCCTTTCTGTTAAAATCACTATTCTTGCAAATGTTCTGGTTGCTGGTAATGCCTTTGTAGAAATAAAGCACATCCAGCTGTCTGAGGTGCTTGTAAAAAAAAAAAAAATTAGTTTGTCTTCTGTCTTCAACTTTTCAAAGAAAACTGAGTACATATAAACTCAGTATTCACATATATTTCAGACCCACATAGTTCTCACAACACCTGGTAGTAGGCTCTGAAAATTATTGCTGCTCACTTTTCCAGAAATGCAGCAATCTCTTTACTTTGTGATCTCCTCCTTCTGAGACAGAAATTAAACCCAGCCTCAGTTTTATCACAGTCACATTAAAAAAAAATTAACATTTTGCAGGGCTATTTAAATATCCTGTCCTGCAGAATCTGATATCTTGTTGTTGCATTGATAAAATAGACCTGTTTTACAAAAAAACTTCTCAGGAGGTTTTTATAATCCTGATCATTTCAATATTTATCTCCAACACTCCAAAGACATAACTGATTACTTCCAACTGGATATCATTTGGAAGATACTGGTCTTCAGTTTCCTTTAATCAGAAAAAGAACGATTTGCAAATGTTTCATTAACAATAATGAACAAAAATCAAAGAGAAAGTGATTTTGCCCTGCAGAAAGTGATGGAAGAGGAACAAATGATACTTCTGCTCAAACAGGTCAGCACAGCCTCTAGAGATTAGTGCAAAACCAACTGATATGTGTCTGAGACAAGAAACAACAGGAATATCAACAGGTGCTTGAACTGGATCCCTGGCAGCCAGCTGCATGCACAGCATCGCTTCACTGGGTTGAAACAATTTCCTCAGCACAACTGAGTCCTTTCAGAACACCATTTACCAAAAAGACCCAAACTGAGAGATTTGGCTGCAGCAATAGTTGGCCTTAGATACCCTCTACACTTACACCTTCACTGCAGGAAGCTCCTCCAATTCCAGATCATCATCAAGACAGAAAAACTACATGGCCAAATACTTCGTAAGCTAGCTCTTTTTTGATTATTATTTGGAACAAATACACAAATTACAGAATTTCAAGTAGAAGTAAATGTTCTCATACTGCAGAGCACGCACTAAAATATGTGCACGCGCCATCACGAGATTTGCTTCTTTACAAATATGGCTGAACTTGTTTCCATAATGGTTTGTGTTTGTTCTTTTCCCTCTTCACATTTAGTTGATGTAAATTGTAGGTTTCATGTGCTCTGAAATGATGTTCACTTCATCAGCATTTCAGCACTATTTTATCTGTATATAAAGATCCATCCTCACCCCTAAAACTCTTCTTCACATTTTTTACCTCAGATTCTTTATGCTTGGTGCAATACTCTTCCAGTGACTTCCTCCTCTGACTCATCCCCACGAACTAGCACAGCAATTTTGTGTGCCACTCAAGCAGGTTCTGCACATGTCTGGTGTTGCATCACTCCCTGTTGGATGATTTAACAGCACAGCATTGCAAGGTAACCAAGATCATCACGACAAGGTTTTGAAAGAAAAGGACAAGTACCCAAACTTGCTTGCACTTACCATTTTAATCACCTTTTCAAACTAAAGAAGTTTATCTACCAATGCTTGTGAATTTAAATGGAGTTCTGCTGTGGCTACACTAAATAAAGGAAACACTGTCCTTGCTTTGTGAGTTAAAGAATAAACTAATTCTTGTGTGCTATGATGGTTCCCAGGGACTGCTGGCTGTCTGGGTAGACTTAAACCAGCCTGAACGACCTGCTGAGGATCAGTGAAGTGCAAAGCTGACCTGGCCACAATCGTGTTGAGTGCTTCTTGGCTATAATTCAATACAAGGTTCTATCTCCTCTTAGTGCAACGGGTCATATCCTCAAGGCTGCTCTGATGATTGATACAGACATCTGTCAGCAGATGCCTGACAGGAAAAGTCAATACTCACGATCATGAAATCACACAGAAGTGACAAAGTGAGCAAAACGTATTTCTTACACAAGGTGAGATTTCACACCTCTGTTAATCCTTCAGAACCACTTGCAGGGATTTTTCCAGGTGAAGACATGAGTTTGATAAGAGGTGTGAAGCAGGCAATTTTACACTGACATTACTGACAAAGCAACTTTGTATCCACCTTGCTTGAAATTGGCCTTTGGAAGTCTCCAATAAAGAGAAGAATGGAATATTGGGAAATATATACTGATGGTAACACAGTGGGATTTTAGTTCTGTCTTCTTCCCCCTCTTCTACAAATTTATTGGTCAATTCAAACACAGTATTGACATTAGATCTAATAATAAGGTGCTGGGCAATCAGAAAGAGCTTAAGCTTTAGATGGAGGTGCACAAATATTTGTCACTGGTGACTTGTTTTATTTCCTCTGTAATTGCAATCCAAAAGTTCCAATTTAAATGTCTCCTTCCACGGGAGAAAAGAGAAGAGGCAACACTGCAGGATGACAAGACAATCTTCCCACTCAGTGGACAATAAACAATAACATACCCCTAATATGCACTTAGCCAGGATGGAGTTCACTGGTTGTGTTCATGTAGATGGCAAAGGGAGGGCTGGAATTTTGAACCACAGACTTCCCTTTGCTGAAGGGAAGCAAATTTTGTGCCACAACTGTGTTGGATGGTACTTGCAAGGAAGCATCGTGTGTTATTATTTGGACATGAAGTTACAGGTCAAACATGCATCTTCCCTCATAGAGTAAAAAAGAAAAGCTGCAGCCTTGTAAATCCAGAGATGCCTCCCCAGAGATCCAGCTCCAGCACTCACTGTAGCAAACATGTGTGAAGGCAGTTGCATTCTTCATCATTTAGTTTTTGTCAGAAAATAT